CGGGGCTCCGGTCGCGTCTTTGCCCGGCCGCGCCGGTCTCGCTCCTCGGCCGTTTTCGCTCCCGGCGGAGCTGTCGGCGACACTGGCGGAGAGAAGCGGAGGCTCCCAGAGTTAGGCCTCTTCCCAGCCAGGCTGCGGGCTTTGGACACATCACTTCCCCTTCTTTCCTCCCGCACTCCATTTATTTAACCAGGATTTCTAGGCATGGGGCTGGTTGAAGGGCCTGGGCCCCGGCGGACTGAGTGGATGGGTGGGGCCTCTGCCCCGGCGCGCTTTGGGGGGAGGTGGGGGGAGCGCCCCTGGGACCTTGGAGAGGACTTCCGTTCATCCATCCAGCCAACAAATATGTGTTGAACAGTTGCGCTGTGCCAGGCGCTGCACAGGTGGAGATACTGCCTTGACGGAGCTCATAGTGAAGAGAAACAGGCAGTATTCAAAGAATCCGGATGCGTGTACAATTGCGGGAGTGATGAACGTCAGGCAAAAAAGGTTCACAGTTCTGGGAGGGTGTATAATGGGAGTACTTGGCTTTATGTGAGGGATACGGGGAGTGAGGATTGAGGCTTAATATTTTTGTTTTTATCCTAAAAAAAAAAAAAAAAAAGCCATTGAAATGTTTAAGAACAACTTGTCATGATCAAATTTTCATTTCGGAAAGTGACTCTGGCTGCTATGTGGAGAAAAAATTAGAGCCAAATTAGAGAACAGCAGCTAGGATTAGACTGATGGCAGAAGATTCATAGTTTATGAAGGAGATGAAATGAACAGGGCTTGGAGATGATTTGATTGTGAGTACGGAGTCTGCACTGCTGAGATACTAGATTTTTTCTTTTTTCAATTGGATAGGAAACACTGGAAAAGGGCCCAGATGAGGAGATGGTGAATTTTGAGGTAGGTGTTCAGTGATGTACAAACTGAACCATGGCTCTCCCAGAAATAATTATAATTCCATGTGACTACTGCTGTGATAGAGGAAGTGTAGGATCCTGTGGAGCACCAGGAATTGGTGACTGATAGGGACTGGAAGGCTTCCTAGAAGAGGTGGTGCTGAGAAGGTTAAAATGCTTACTAGGTTATTAGCGAGCTTGCTCTGAAATGCTGTATGGGTTTCTGAAGTTGAGAGAGTGACTTTCTGACCCGGTCAGGAAGACTTAGAAATGTGCCAGGGTTTGAAGCATGGGGAAAACTTAGACTCAGGATTGGTCGGATGGGACTATTAAGAGAAGTAACTACCCCAGGGGATAGCAGAGGCAAAGAGGGATCAGATTGACAGAAGGGAAGATTTCTGTTAGGGAAACTTGGAGAAGTCACTGGGAAGAAAGATCAGGGACTTGTGGAAGGCTGTGGTTCTGCACACAGTGGAGTTCTCTTAATGTTTTTGAGGAAAGAACATTAAACTGTTGGCTTTATGTCGGACGGATAGGAGGAAGAGAAGGCATTAGAGGAAATGTAAGTGTATTCTCCACTTTGTGTCCAGCACCAGGTTCACTGTACTGCTGCTGCCCTTGCCATGTCACAGGACTCAGCCTTGCAGCTGTCCTCTATTCCTCCTCCTCCCTCATTTCCCATCCTACTCCAGTTTTTGTCCAGGTCTTCAGAATTTGTATTCCCTGTCTGTTTCTCTCTTCGCCATCTTTGTTTGACACCCATCATTCTGAATGGATGCTGAAGCCTGTACTAAGATGATGACAGTGGACATGAGGAAGACAGAATGGATGTGTGATGTGTTTGGGGGAAGGGGTCGATGGGACTGAGTTACTGGAGGGGAGATTTTTGACTCTCCATGATTAGGTTGGTGATAGGCCCATCCACAAAATTTGGGAAGTGAGGAGAAGAAGATGATTCAATTTTGGAGGAAATGATAAAGTTTAGATATGGTGAGACTTTCAGGTGAAGTTGCCCAGTGGTCAGTAATAGTTCACGTGCACCGAACTTCTCAGGTAGCCTCAGGGACACTGGACCACATATCTGCGTGATCCAGGAAGACCTGGCAGGGAGGCCTGTTCATGTTTCCTGAATTGCCTTAATGCTTACCTCTTGTTTGCAGCTTGGCTTGTGGAGATGTTGAAGGGAAGTTTGATGTTTTATTCAATAGAGTTCGAGCAGTTCAGAAGAAAAGTGGAAACTTTGACGTAAGATATTTCCTTTCTCAGAATTTTATTTTACTCTCAACATACTAAAGTTTGGGCTCCTTTATTCATTTCTTGCATACTCCCCTGGACCCCCTCTTCCCCATCCCCAACTTGAATTTGACAGTGAGACGAAACATAGTAATTTATACAATTATTACTAAAGAATTATGTATTGAAATTCTGCAGATTGATTAAGGAAAAAACCTGGTTTGAGACCATTACTTGGATAATAAGCTGAATAATGTTACTATTATGTGCCATTTGATATAAAAAAATCTCATATATCTGTTTAAAAAACTCATTTTAGCTGCTGTTGTGTGTAGGAAATTTCTTTGGCTCCACTCCAGATGCTGAATGGGAGGAGTATAAAACTGGCATCAAAAAAGGTATAGAAATTATTTTTTATTTAACAAATGATTTCTAATAAAGTTTCAAGACTACAGTTTTTTCTGGGTTGTTTTCACAAGTGTTAGTTCTTTAAGAATTTCCCCTTGAGCTCTGCATTGAGCTGGGAAGGATGCATATGCATCTAAATATTCACATGTGGAATTTGGTTGGAATTAGTTCCAGAAAAATCATTCTCTTCTAAGTAGGCAGGAATTGAATAAATGAAACCACATGTGTTCTTTCCTATTAAGCGTTTTAGGGACTATGTTTCCCTAATTATATAATGACCATCCTCTTTAGGATGTCACCTCACCATCCTAGTGATACTATTTAACAATCAGGGCACAAGGCTGGATGTAGGGTATCCTAACTGGTGATCACATTGCACATGTAGGATTGCAGACTCTACTTCAGGTATGATGATTTTTCCTGTGGGGAAGCATCCCTCAAGTTCCAAAGCAGATCTGCTAACTCTATGGTGTCATGTCTGTTTCTCTCACTAGCTCCTATTCAGACATATGTGCTAGGTGCCAATAACCAGGAAACAGTAAAATATTTCCAAGATACTGATGGGTGTGAATTAGCTGAAAACATTACTTATCTGGGTAAGTTGTTATTTTTTTGTGTTTGTAATGAACATAATAAAGTTTCCCAGGAAATTTGTGGCTGGATTCTGCCATTACTATCTGAGAGAATGGGGACCAGGGGGGTTCTTTCCCAAAGTCTGAGTCTATACTTAAGACTGTAGCATTTTTTCCTTTGTGGTTTGCCCCATTTCCCTCCAATCTCCTTGTGTTCCCACAACCAAATACATACTCTTTCAGCCAAACAGAGCAATAAATTACTTGACTAATATAGGGTATTTAAGGTATAAATTATGTTTTAAAAAAGCCTAACCATATAACATACAGCTTACTTGTTAGATTCCTAACTAGCTGTATGTAGTTCAGGATCTCGCTAGGCTTTTGCAAACTGAAGTTTTTAGTGCTGATTCTTGGTTTTTCACTCACTTTGTCCTTTCTCTGGTTCCAGCTTAAAGTTGTTTCCTCCTACCCTGTGACTATCTTTTAGTGGTTTTCTCAATGTCTGGCCACTTTTGTTTCTTTTCACCTGTTGTCAGTCTACAGCCTCTTGGATCATTCAGCTCATTTTCCCCCTAAAATGGCTCCACTGCTCTTCACATTTCCTCTTTCTTGGCCTCTCATTTCTCTTCTAGATTTTCTTTGTTGTAAATTTCCTTCTTTTCCCTGCCCACCATAGTCCATCTTGGCTTTTATTTGATTCTTTGCATCTAACTATGGCCCTCCTATAAGCATTCTCATCTTGTTTCAATCATCTGGGGCTGCTTTAGGCAAAAAATTGAGGGACAGATTTTTGTTGTTTTTAACTACCATTGTGAGATATACATTTGGAAATCATTTTGTTGTAGCTCTTTATGTGGGCCTGACTTATGGCAGTTCTCACTGTGGTTATTAGATTTGGGTTAAGACCACTGCTGTAGATAATTATGGCAGCCATTTTACCATATAAATTTACTGCTGGAGTGGAAAGAGCAGCTGAGGTATTTGACTTATTTCTGTGAAAGAGATCTTTTGAGATCCAGCAGGAGAAGCAAACAATGAACTTAATAGTGAACATGTGATACTGAGCTTGAAGTGCTGGCAAAACTCCAACCTATGGTAAGACGTGATCTTTCTAGAGTTTATAAACAAGGTTTGTGTTGAAGAGTATAGATTTTGGGGAGCTGGTCCCATAAAGATGACAAAGCTGAGAAGAAGATCACTTTATTGAGTAAGAAATATAATGAGAAGGGAAACAGGCAGATAGTATCTTGTGGTGGGGGGCATATATCTTCATGTAGAAGATAGGCATACAGGTGAAAGTAATTAGAGAAGTGTTGGGAAAGGTAAAGATATTATCTAGTTCATAAACTAAGTGAAGAGAGAATAGTTTTAGGAGTAGAGACCATTGGTGATTCATGACCTTTAAGAGAATGGTGGGAGAGGGAAACTAGGTTGCAGTGGGTTAAGGAGCTAATTAAGAAGTAAAGCACTTAGTACAGACTACCCTTGAAAAATTTAAACTGAAGAGCAAGAGGTTTCCTTATCAGTTAGTATGTGTGTTCCTTAGTATGTATGCTTATTAATTAGTATGTGCTTTTATCAATTAGTATGTATGTTAATTAGTATGTTTAACATTCTATTTCCTGAATGGAAAGAACCAGTTGAGAAGAAGAGATTCAGTAGAGGAAAGGAAGGTGAAAATTGATGGAACAATTTGGTCTTAAAGACGCAAGCCAGGAATAAATTTAGGAGGGTAGTTTCTAATTTTTCCCAAACAGTTGTTCTTTTGAAATGTTTTCCTTCAATTGGAAGCTGCTGCCCACATGAAGATTACATCTATTCTAGACTATACCTTCCTCAGAACTGTAGTTATTTTTTTTTCATTGCTTCTCCCAATGTTCAGGTGTTCAGTTTCTTTTAATCCATGTAGAATCTCCTCTAGAAGGTAGAAAGCCTATTTTATTCAGTGCTTCCCAACTGTTTTCATTAGCACCTGGGATAAACAGACTGGCTAGTGGGCTCCAGCAGCCTCCATGTAGGGCACTCTTATTGAACAGGAATGCTGTTGTAGCCATCCAACATTGAGACCTAGCAGCGAGAAGGGGGCTCTAGGAGTTTACACTCATTCAGACATGTAGAAAGGCAGGGAGGTAGAGTCGTGGCATGGGGAGATTCATCACCATAATGACATTTCATGTTGCAGTTTTGATTGAAACTTTTCCATTTTCCTTTGAACCCAGGTCGGAAAGGCGTCTTCACAGGAAGCTCGGGGCTGCAGATTGTGTACCTCAGTGGGACAGAGTCCTTAAATGAGCCTGTCCCAGGTTACAGTTTTGGTCCCAAGGATGTGTCTTCCCTGAGAACAATGCTGTGTTCGACATCCCAGTTTAAGGGTGTTGATATCTTGCTCACATCCCCTTGGCCCAAGTATGTGGGGAACTTTGGGAATTCTTCTGTGAGTAGTGTTTATTCAGTTGGAATTTCTAAAAGCAAATTGCACTGGCTTAATCTGGGCTTTTCCTGCTGTTTATATTAAGTATTTCAGCTCTTAGTACCTTTCAGTAGAAATTTTTGTGTGAATTTTTTCAGGATATTTAAAGCTATATTAACTGACCAAAGCAAAAGTCAATATTATGAAAGCTTGATTCACAGTTGAGATTGCTGAAATCGTAATTATAAATGAATGGTTCTTTAAATTATGTTCGTTGCTTCAGGTGCCCTCTCTCAAGCTTCCTCTTAGTATGTTTTGAGGGTTCACTAATTTTCAGTGAAAGGATTTACAGCAGGTGGCAGTTCTGCAGTTGTATTTTTTCCCCTCCCATTCCAGATTATAGCTTTTTGGCTATCAAAATATTTTTTAGATGGAATCATTATAGGATCAAAGATAGTGATCTGAAGACATAAAGATAAGAAATGAGATATTGAAAACTTGGTACTTCTCTAATGTGAAAGCTTTAATGTTGGGATGCATTGGAGCTCACCATAGCATTTGATTTTAATATATTTTAAGCATTCTAGAAGAGGGTGTGCACCTGGTTGATGAGTGACAGCTGTCATGGGCTGGGAAATACTATATTGGTGGAAATGAGCCTATGAAGACCTGGAGAGTTTGTGAGTGAGGGCAGAAATCATCAGCTGAACTTCAGTGAAGGGAAATGTAAGAATGCATTTAGAGGCAAATATTAGTTGATAGATGCAGAGTTATCAGTGATGGTCCAGAAAAGGGTCTTGTAGAGCACTCTCGACGACTTTAGCACAATGTGTCTATGACCAGGAAGGCCAAAAAGATACCAGGCATTGTTAGGCAGGGTGTTGAAAGGAAAAAGGACAACACTCTCTTCCCCTTCCATAAATCCAGGGTTATTCCTCACCTAGACCACAAGGGGTAGTGCTGATGCAGCGTAGAGAAGATACAGCAGAGCTAGGGAGGATCCAGAGGCCTGCTAAGCGGACGATGGGAGGATGGCATGTGATACTCCGTAAGGAAGGAAAAGAAGAAAGAGGCTCCTTCATTTTGGGGGTGCTAAAAAAAGATTTTGATTCAGGTTTATAAATAGCTATACAAGATATTTATAGGGGAGAAAAGATAGTTCACCAGTCCCTAAGATACCACAACCAACCTCAAGGCCAATTCCCTGCCCTTCAGCAGAAACCTGAAGGAGACAGGCAAAAACAAAGGGGAGTTCTTGCTTTACTTACTGGAAAATTAATTTTGGTAATTGATTTCCAGCTAATATCTTCTCTTAGAGTTCATAGTTAACATTATGGATGAGAGGTCACATAATTTGTTGTTAATGGAAGCTAGGAATGTTCTGGGAACAAGCCTAACTTTTGGTAAACTTTATAACAAGGACATGATGTGCTCTTCCACAAACCATACCTTCCTTAACTGAAGCAAATAAAGGATTGCATGCTTACGGGATGAAGTCCTTGAATATTCCATACCAAGTATTCTATAGGCCCTAGGGGCTCTGAAAGCCAGCTTTAAGTTCTGTTTTGTGCTTTAATAAACTATCTGCATTGTCAGAACTGTAGGTACACAACAAAGTAAATTATAGAAGCATAGTCTGTGGGCTTCAGACATAGAGCTTACTTTCCAAAAAAGATTTGAAGAGGTTTCATAAACCCTGCTTTGGGTATTAGTATGGAGGACTTACCTTTAAACCTCTGGCTTCTGGCAGTTATTCCTATTTCTGTATTCATAATAGCCCCATTCCTCTTGTATGTTTGAAATTTCTCTGACTGCCATCATATGGAATTTACTTTGCAAATTCTGCCCACATTTGTATCCACATACAAATTTCAAAGACATTTCAAAGTGGTGTTATTTCTTTGCATTTCTTGGTTACTCTTAGGTCTGTTAGGATGACTGAGTTTCTGTTTACTAGGGAGAAGTGGATACCAAAAAATGTGGCTCTGCTTTGGTCTCCAGTCTTGCCATAGGCCTGAAACCAAGATACCATTTTGCTGCTTTGGAAAAGACCTATTACGAGAGACTTCCATATCGGTGAGTAACATTTCATTCTTTTTAAATTCTTGAAGAATTTGCCTTGCATCTTTTGTGTTAACTTCTTATGTTCATTTCAGCCATATAACATGTTGGTTCCTTTTAGTTACTCAGGCACTGAAACAGGTGACTCTCATATCATTCAACTTGGTGTGTGGGCTGATGCTCTAACCACTGAGCAACACTGGCCAGGGCATCCCTAAAATAATGTATAAAAAATTTTTTTTTACACAAAAGTAGTATATGTGTTGTTGAAAGTTCAAAAAATATAGCTGAGCAAAGAGGATAACCTTCCTTTTCCCCATAGTACCACAGTGTAAGACATAACTTACAGACTTTTCTGTTACGTCTCCATATGTGCATTCCAGAAAATACTGTTCTCTAAAACCGTGCATTAAAAACAAAGGTTATGGGAGCAAGCCACTCAAAACCTATTCAACCTTTAAGGATCTGAACACATATTTCTCTGAAGAACATATACCAGTGGCCAGTAGGCACATAAAAAGATGCTCACAAAACCACAAGGAGATACCACTTCACACCCACTAGAATGGCTGCCATCAAAAATGCAAATAATAAGTGTTGGCAAGGTAATGTGTTGGAATTGGAACCCTCACACATTGCTGGTGGGAATGTAAAGTGGTGCAGACGCTTTGAAGAACTGTTTGGTATTTCCTTAAAAGAGTAAACAGAGAGTTACCATATGACCCAGCAATTCCACTCCTGTTCCAAGCGAAATGAAAACATAGGTCCACACAAAAGTTGTACACAAATGATTTTAACAGCATTATCCATAATTATTCATAACAGTGGAAACAACCCAAATGTCCGTCACCTAATGGATACTTCTCAGGATATTCCTTAATGTCTTCGTGTATTATTAAAGCTTCCATTTAATTTTGAGTAAACTTGTTCCCGTCATTACTGGTGGTGATGGACCTACGACTCTTTTCATGGCCCCATGGAGTCTACATATTTTATCATTGTAAATCAAAAGTAAAGTTTTTTGGTAACCTGTAATCTCTCAAATATATTATAGAAACCACATCGTTCTGCAGGAAAATGCACAGCATGCCACCAGGTTCATAGCTCTGGCAAATGTTGGAAATTCAGAAAAGAAAAAGGTAAAGATTTGAGTATTTGAGGGTAGGTTAATAATCATTGTCTGTCTCATGTTTCCCAGTTTAGCATTCATGTCTTTTCCTCTCCCCAACCACAGTGCCCCAGCACCTCAGTGACTCCTCTGTAAGGATATGGTAATGAAAGGTCAGGTGTTCTTGTGTCCTTTGTAGGAGATTTTAGAGAAGGGTTTGGGAAAATAGGCCTGGGGAACAAACGCAAAATTTCAAATGAATGATGTTTCTTCCCACGTCCATGTGGTGGTCTCTGTGGGTATTCATGAGTTTGCCCTCAGAAGGTACTCTTCCTTTGCTTCTTTTAGCAACTTTATTTAGCAGAAATAATAAAATCCTCCTTAGGAGATTATTTCACTATAACATGCCATAAACAATGTACATGCAAAAGATAAGTGAATATATATTTTGCATTTTCCATAATATCTTAAGTTTTTAAGCCCAGTGCATTTTTAACAAGTTTAGATTTCTAAAATTTTTTACTGTCTTTTAAAGACCAAATATCATTCATAGTATTTTCAGTCTGTTGCTTTACTCTTAGGGATGTGTTAGCTTCAGCCCTAAGCAACTCGTACTTCCATCTAAGAATATGCACATCTTAAAATTTGGGGAGCATTATTAAACTCGTCTCAAAATTTTGCTCCAGTTTACACCCCTATGAGCAGTGTATGAGTTCATTTTCTATCCACATTCTCACAGGGTAGTGTCAAATTTTTATTAAGAGTTTTTGCCATTCTGATAGATGAAGATGCTGTATTGTTAATTAGTTGCATTTCTGTGATCAGTAGTGAGGTTAAGCATCCATTCATATCTAAAGTCCTTAATAACTGTGCAATTAGTCTGAGATTCTAGATATTCCTATGAATATTTACATCTTTGCTACTAAGAAAATTTATCAGTATATACAGCAGAAATTATATGTCAGAGGGAACACTTGAGTTGTCCAATTTAGTTTTCATTAGAAAAAAGAATGGCAGTGCCATGATTCTGTTGACGAAGTACACGAAGATACAGGACTCAGAGAAAGAAGCAGTTTGTCTTCAAAGGTTATAGAACAAGTCCTTCTGGGCTTTCTAGTGATGGTTGTTTTGTGTAAGGGTGGGGACTTTGATTTGTTGCTCATTACTTGTCAGCCCTTGGTTAGCCCCTGCAGAGATCACTGAATTGGCATTTGATTTACTAGGTATTCTCTGAGCTGCAGATGGGCCAATTGCTGCTCTTTTAATTTTACTTAGTTTCAGAAGCCTCTGGGAAATCTTCGCAATAAAATAGATTGATTACATTTGGATAAACAGTATTTCCCTTAATGTTACTATGTTGTTTTTCTCCAAAGTATCTTTATGCCTTCAGTATTGTTCCCATGAAACGAATGGATGCAGCTGAACTAGTAAAACAGCCTCCAGATGTCACTGAAAATCCTTACAGGAAATCCGTGAAGGAAGCATCCACAGGAAAGCAAATTCCTGCCCCTGAGGTATGTTCTGATTGAGAAGTAGCATCTTCTGGGCAGGATTTCCCTTTACCTGTGTTATAGTTTAATTCGTAAGACAAGTTTAATCCCTAGAATCTAATTTTTCCCCCCTTAGGAAATCATGGTGCTGTTTAGAAAGCCTTAGTTTTTAAGTAAGGTCAGTGGTTTTTTTAATTGTAGTTTGAGCTTAACAGTTTCATAGTTTCACTTTTTTTTTTTTATATCTAAAGTTGATTCTCTATTCTTAACTTTTCAGGCAAGGATCCAACAACTGTTTAGCAATGTAATCTGTGATTTTATGAGTGCTAGTAGGTAAATAAGATTCACTCTAAAGAAATTCCTAAATATTCTCCTTCACTACAATAAGGAATGAAAATGAGGGGAAAATTAGTATGCTTTCTTAGACTTTTTTTTTTCTTTATGAGCAACCTTCTTATCTTCTAATTAAAATCTCAATTACAGTTCTTTGAGCTGTGAAGTGTAGGACTGCATTGAGAGGGAAAGGGAAAGGAATTTGGATGAGTTCATATTGTTGTTTTAGACAAGAATTACTCTATAACTTAGATTTTAACTTGCTTTTCCAAAGAGATGGATTTGGTGGCAGCTTGGATAAGTGCTGAGGAATATGACTGAGTCCAGACACCTTCTTTAGAATAGGCAGAAAAGGCTGGGATAAAAGATAGACATTACATGGCAGGAATGTTCCTTTGTATGTGAATGGTTGGTACTTGACTAGAGGTTAGTTTATTAACATCTACTCTTCTACCTTTGGCCCTTCCAGGAAGAGTCAGCTTGTCAGTTTTTCTTTGATTTAAATGAAAGGCAGGGAAGGAAGCGTTCATCTACAGGCAGAGATAGCAAGTCTCCTCACCCAAAGCAGCCTCGCAAACCTCGTAAGTACCTCAGTTCCAGACATCTCCTGTGTGAGCAATAACTGGTATTTCAGGTCTTGTTTGGGAAGCAGCATTGCTAAGAGAGCCTCTTCTGGCAGAGGAAATTATACAATGAGTCATTATGACCAGTAATAAAAATGAAATTTTACAAAAATGGCCTGACTTTGAGGCTGAGACTGTTCCTATGAGAATTATGGAAACAACTTCTTTCATTCATGTTGTAAACGTGAGCTAAAGAGCCTACAAAACTAATGTAGGTTCATAAAATAATAGGGTAATCAAAATGGTGGGAGAGACGTTAAGACTATTTCATTGAGATCCTTTTTATCCACCCCCACTTTTCAAAGATGAAGAAGCTGACCTTGGGAAATCTTACTGCCCAGGGTCATGTGGCTAGCTAGTGGCAAAGCGGGGACTAAAATCGGGGCTCCTGACACCCAGTTCAGTGTTCTTTCATTGCAGCCTGTTGCCAGTCACATGCTACTTTAGCCAATATGTGGTTGTCACTTGTGGATCACCTACCTGTGGAATGGTTACAAATTCAGAATTTTTCTAATAGAGGTTTAGTTTCATTGATAGTGGTGATGGTGTAGGAGTCATAGTGAGCACAGCAGGCCCAGCCCATTGTGGCAGTGCTATATACCAGTCTTTGTAGGATATAAAGATCAGACAAGGGTGGTTATATGCTGGAGTGTTTAGACCGTAGTAACATTTGGCTTTCTCCCATGTGAAGCTCAGCCTCCAGGACCCTGCTGGTTTTGCCTTGCCAGCCCTGAAGTGGAGAAGCATTTGGTGGTCAACATTGGCACACATGTAAGTTACTTTCATGGAGCTTTTACAGAGAAAGAGACACGTGTTTGTTTTGTATCACTTTATTGAATCAACATCTGTATCATGAAATTTGCCCACTTTAAGTGTACAACCCAGCGGTTTTTAGTAAGCTTACCAAGTTGTGCAACCATCACCTAATGCCGTTTTAGAACATGTCCATCACTCCAATAAGATCCCATGTGCCCATTTACAGTTAATCCCCATTTCTACCCTCAGCCCCAGGCGAACACTAGTCTGCTTTCTGTGTCCATGGGTGTACCTTTTCTGGACAGTTCATAAAAATGGAATCACAGAATATGTGATCTTTGTGTCTGGCTTCTTGCATAATACTCTTAAGACTCATCCATGTTGTAGCATCTATCGGCATTCCTTTTCAAATAGTATCCCATTGTATGGATATATACTACATTTTGTCTATGTATTCATCAGTAGATGGACATTTAGGTTCAAAATGCCATGTTGGGGAAAAGAGACTTGGAATGCTAACTTAGCCCAGTGCTGCTCTAGGCCTCATGAAGAAATGTCCTATCCTTTCAAGTCACCTTTCTATTACCCAGGGAATGAACTTAGGGGATAATCAAGGGAACCTGTTGTTTTTCTCATTTGGACCTGAAATTAGAGGGGCAAGGAGCATCCTAGGTCTTGATTGTGGCTCAGCTTAGCACCCCAGGTAGGAGGCCACATGAGGATTTTAGCACCTACCTAGTAATCTACACTTACCTAGCTGTCCTTGGTCTGGTAGAAACCTTCTGGAACCTCTGGCGACCTTTGTTTGACAAAAGGTTTGGAGTCCCCTCTCTACGTCTATTCCTCTTGATCTGCTTTCATTACTTTTCCCCTCTGGCTTTCTCTGTCTTTGCCATGCCTTCCTCAAGGGATGTACATAAAACTATGCTAATGGCCCATGGCCACAAATTGGTCAAAGGAGGAGAAGGCTGCTAAGAGTCCAAAATAACTCCTTCAAAGTCTATATATTTTACTATGGGGGAAGCATTCATTCAGGTCCTGTTTATACATTTGAGGTACAATTAGAGATAATCAAGTATAGAATAGATTAGAAGGTAAGAGTTTGAAAGGGGGGAAGGAGAGTGGGCAAGTGTGAAACTATTCACAAGACTTGGAAAGTACTGCATTGGGGTTTGCTAGTTAGTCTAGACTAGAAAGCTTCAGTAGCCTCAATGCACATCAGAGTATAAAAACTGCTATTTATAGCAGTGGCCCTTTGACATAATGAGAGGTCTAGAAGACTCAAGCTTCTGGAGTAAGCTTTAAAAAGAAACAATCAAAAACAGTTGTTATAAAAATTAAGAAAATGCATTAGTGCTTATGAGGTTTTGATGAACTGTAGTCATCTGGAAAATTAACTTTGTAGATATGTTCACTCCTCTGTACTAAGTAGATCAAGGATGATCATGCTTTAGTTGGTTTCTGCCACCTGCATTGCCATTCTATTGGACTTTCTCAGTGTAAATGAAAAATAAATGACTCCTTCCTTCAGCCGTAACTGAATCCACCACACTAAAGGTATACTTTGGATTGTTCTTTCTAAAGCTCTAGTACCTTCATTTGCCTGCACTGGTATGCATTGGCTTTTCTCTACTCAGTGTTTTTTCCTTCAAAGAATGTCTGAGTGTAGAGCAGTCTTACATGTTGTTTGTTTTTTTAATCCTCACCTGAGGATATTTTTCTACTGCTTTTCAGAGAGAGTGTAAGGGAGGGAAGGAGGAAAGGAGGGGGAGAGAGAAGGAGGGAGAGAAACATCGATGAGAGAGAGACACATTGACTGGTTGCCTCCCACAGGTGCCCCAACCAAGGGTGGGGAGCAAACCCGCAACCCAGGTACGTGCCTTTGACCCAGAATCAAACCAGCAACTACCCTTTGGTGCTGGGCCGATGCTCTAACCACTGAGCAACACTGGCCAGGGCCATGTTTTGGTTTTGACAAGTATTTTTAGTTGCTTTTTTAAAAAGCTGCCATTGTTGGAACCATAGTTTTCCACCTTTTTGGATACACTTCAGTTTGAAGTTTCTCATTCTTCCATCCCACCTATTAGGTCATATGTTTGCCTTCATTTTGTAGAGGTTAGTCAGCAGCTTAAGGCTGTAGGGACATTGGATGCTTCATGTCACCTTAGCCCTTTTTGTTAGCCTGGGAGTGTATTTGGTGTGGGATGGATGTTACTCTAGGGAGAGTGGTCATTTTGAAATCAGAAGTGGTATCTTTCTGTGGCTGAAGGTGATAGTAACTGAAAAATTGTTTTTAAGTTTGGAGCCTGGGAAGAAAAACCAACTGCTTGTTGTTCTGGTCCCTTTTGGCTCTGGCGTGTTTAAAACCAAAAGCCTATTTGTGTGCTGCTCATTTGCTCCCAATACATTTGATACTTGCAGAGAAATTTGTTGCGTCTAATCTCATTCTTCAGCAGGTACTTGAGAACATTGTTGTAATCTCTAAAGTTAGGTTTTTAAAAATTGGAGAATTTCTGTTAATAGCCTCGTGAGCTCTCTTTCCACATCCTCCAGGCTCACTCTTTGAATAGGCTTTTCTCCCTGAAGACATACATGCAGTATTGATGTATCGCTGCTGTGTGCTTCATCTTCAGTGCTACCTTGCCCTGGCCAAAGGAGGCTTATCTGATGACCATGTCCTTATCCTGCCCATTGGACACTACCAGTCAGTGGTGGAGCTTTCAGCAGAGGTGGTGGAAGAGGTGGAGAAGTATAAGGCTACACTGAGGAGGTTCTTTAAGAGTCGAGGGAAACGGTGTATTCTGTTTGAGAGAAATTATAAGAGCCATCACCTCCAGCTACAGGTAGGTAACCTCTGACCAAGAACTTGGAAGGGCCCTGTGGGGACCTAGATATTGATAAATATTTAAATGATGTTAATTTTAATAATTTGATTAATATTTAAATATTTGATTCCAATTTAAAACTATTTTATATTTAAAAATTTTAACCTGAATTTTCATATTAATACTTAAATAATATTCATTTAAAAGGTTAAAGAGTCTCTGGTGGTAACTCCAGAGAGTTCACAGGGAAGTGCATGGTCAGTATAAGTGAACTGCACAGACGGTAAGTGCCTTGTTTAGGAAAGGAATGGGTAGTTGAAGAAGGTTACAAGAAAGATTTGGGCCTGGATAGGTAGAGCTTGGACGAGATTGGGTATTTGTGTGAAGCCCAGCACGAGTGACCGCTCAGAGGTAGGAAATAGTCTCAGAGCCTGTTGGGCTAGCAGCTTAGTCGTTTGGAGATTATTATGGATAATTTGTTTGTAGTTGTGGTGGTTTTCTTTTTGGCACATTTGTTAAGTTTTCAAATGGGCCTGACTCTGCCACATATATTATATAGGAGCTGGGAAAGGCCTGATGACAAAAAAAGCTCTCTCTAGCCTTTTCCACATCAGAGATTGGCTCCCACATCTGGCAGGCTATCTCATAAGTTTAAGTCCTTACAGACAGGCTGACATGGACCTGTCTGGCCTGAGGAGAATCTCTGCTGAGGGGTGTTTTTCCACCCCTGTGATGGATTTGCTATTTCTCAGGAACTGCAGGAGGCATGACCTCTCTCGGACCTACATGAAGAATTTTTCCTATCTCCCCTACCCCCACCCCAGGTCATTCCTGTGCCACTCAGCCGCTGTGCTACTGATGACATTAAAGACGCCTTCATTACCCAGGCACAGGAGCAACAGATAGAGCTGTTGGAAATCCCAGAGCACTCTGACATCAAGCAGGTAAACAGAAGGGCAAGGTGATGTTCAGGGAGAAGTAAAAACCTGGTTTCTGACACGTTGAGCCTGAGGTACTGTCAAGGAGTTCCAAAAATGTTAAATAGATGACAGCTTGCAACAGGAGCCTGGAGTATTGATTAGATGAGACAAAGATGGCAATGCCTCAGTACTTTCCTGGGAAGAGCAAGAAATGAGAAACTTCCTAAGGCAGGAACTTAGAAAGATGGGTGCCACTGGGAGGGTCTTTAGTATCTGCCAGTTTGTCTTTTTGGGCCGGGATTTTAGATTTTTAAAGCACTATTCTATGTCCTCATGCAACTCTGTTTACTTTAGATTGCACAGCCAGGAGCAGCATATTTTTATGTTGAACTTGACACAGGAGAGAAGCTTTTCCACAGAATTAAAAAGAATTTTCCTTTGCAGTTTGGAAGGTTTGTATAGTTTTCTTGTTTTAAATGTATTTTTACTAGACCTACTCTGAACAAAGTAGTGGGCTGCTTGGACAGTTAAATAAAAAGCCAAATAAGAAAGAGTTCTTGACCAAAGGAAGGAGTAGTCTTAGGGCAAGTCAAATATTTACACATATGACAGTAATGTGAAAAGTACCATAACAAAGTTTTGAGGAACAGTGTATTTTAGAAATTCAGAGAAGGGAGAGCTCATATCTAATATGTGAAAGGGTTGAGGTTGAGCAAGAGAGAGATTTAGACAGCAAACATTGGACTGTCAGAATTCTAGCCTTGGAATAAAGTACTACCATTAATTGAACCATTAATCTTCATCAGGCACTGTGCCAAGAACTTTACGTGCATTGCCTCATTTAATCTTTCCAACTCTGTAAGGTAGGTACTGGCACCTCAGTTTACCAGTACAGAAAGTGAGGCTTTAGAGCAGTACCCAATAGAACTCTCTGTAGTAATGGAAATGCTCTATAAGTCCGCACTGTCCTATGCAGTAATCACTAGCCACAAATAACCACTGAGCACTTGAAATGTGGCTAATGTGGTAAGGAACTGAATTTTAATTTAATTTAAATTAATTGTGATTAAAATTTAAATGTCTGTATTTGAGTCCTGGCTCCTATAGTGGACAGCATGGCTGTAGAATGGTTAGCTTGTCCATGGCCACACAGTGGTAGGTTCAAATCCAGGCCAGTTGGACCACAGAATGTGAGGTCTCAACCTCATTATTCCATAGTATCCTGAAGGTTTGGATGAGGCTTAATTTTCTTCTCCTCCTATCAGGCAGAGAATGTGACTGCAAAACTGCACAGGGAGTGGTATGAATTAGGCAAAGACTAAACACAGGAATTTGCTGACCAGAAGAGAGAGGTTCTTGAGGGGAGTGGGAAATGGGGAGAACAGATTATCTGCTGCTGGTGCCTGTGAATTGGAGCTGTTTTTCTTCCGTGGTTGGAACAGCTTTGAGTCAACCTTGAGCCCTTCTTGGTCTAATTTGGAAAGCCTCCAAGAGATTTCCACCATTGGATAAGTCCAGTAAATGTAGTTGTCTATATTTTCAAAAAGATAATTGACAAATGACCAAGTATGTTAAAAGCTTCAAACATTGGACATTATCTTTTTGCTGTTGCCTCAGCAGCAGATGCACATGTGGACACTGATGACACAGGCACATGATGGCAGATACACACAGGTACATAAGCCTACAAGAGAGAGATTCTCTGCTTTTATGCTCATGATAGTTGTATTTTCAACATTTTGAGTATTTTTCAAAATGCTAACTTACAGTTATATAGCATTTTATAGTTAGCAAAATACATGAAAAGACACTTTTTCTCCCTGTTGTACAATAAAGGTGATTCCATCTTCATTTTACAGGTGAAGAAGTAGGTTCAAGGCAGCTAGAAATTACACTCAGGTCCTTTGACATTTAGAAGACTTGTGATTTGTTTTGAACTCTTCTATTTATTGTAGCTTCAGAGTGCAAAATGAACATATAGATACACAAATAGAGTTATTTCTAATATAGCAAAATAAGTAAAAATAAATATAAAGCAGTGGCAATTAAAAGCTAGCTTGTATATGTGTCTGTATGTAGTTATTTTTTAATTCTAAGAGCCAAGATAAGTTGTTTTTATATTGAGCCCATGTTTTTGTGCCTGTGTAGGCTTGAATCCTCTAAAAGGAGAGGCAGAAAGAGTGGGTTATGGTACTAGGTGCCTGACTTTGCACCATGCCCTTAGCAAACTCCTGGTCTAATTGGGATGACAAAGCTAGAGTTTAAGGGGTTTGGTGCTTTTATTATGTTATCTCCATACCTCACAAACCCCTTATTTTGCATTTCATAGTTGAGAAAATCAAGACTCAGATGAAATCATCTGTTCAAGTCATAGACAGCAAGTGGCAGAGCTAAGAATGGAACTCTCTCTGATATTTCTGGCACCAGGCCTGCCCTCAATTCTCCTGTGCCATGTGGCTTTGCTAAGTACCAATAAATGTAGTTCCAAGTTCAGAGAAGTAAATGGGATTTGAGGGGTTAAGAAAGAGGTAGGACCTGAGCTGGTCACTTAAAATGGATATGATTTTGATAGAATAGCAGAGGTGGCACTCAGGGCATGAGGAAATGGTGTGAGTAAAGTCAGAGGAATTTGTAGGTCGTCTTTGGGTGATGTTGAGGAGAGCACTCTGGCTGGAGAGGAATGGAGGAGGGAGTTTCAAACTGATTCTATTTTTACTTCTTTGTGCTTTTTCTGCAGGGAGGTCCTGGCAAGTGAAGCCATCCTTAATATTCCTGACAAGTCTGACTGGAGGCAGTGTCAGATCAGCAAGGAAGAGGAGGAGACTCTGGCTCGCCGCTTCAGGAAAGACTTTGAGCCCTTTGACTTCACTCTGGACGACTAAGCAAAGGGAAAGGCACTTTATGAACTTCACAGGATGTAACAGCCTGTTTTTTAAAGAAACTAGTCTCCCATGGGGACTGTTTCCCTGCCTCTTTTTGGTACATTCCCATGGAACCTGTCTGCAGCAAGAGGCCTAAGATTGAATCTTTTTGGAAAAAGTCACATTGTAGGATGAAAATCCTATGTTAAAGCATGTTTGTCATCCAGCTCCAAGTACAGCTTTTGTTTATCAACACTTCCAAAAAATTTAAATTATCAAATAAAATCCAGATACTTTTCCATGCTTGGGAGGTGCCTTATCTTTATGTTATCTATAACCATTGAAATGAAGTGGTATATGATAGGAGGAACCAGGGCTTTAGGCCCGGCTGTTATCCCCAGATCTCACAGGTGGTTTCTCCCTGAGCAACCTAGGATGGAGAATGGACCCAGGGCCTTTGCCATTCTTCTTATAGCATTCATCTTATTGATGCAAAAAAGCTCATTCAGTCTTTCAGCAAATACTTACCTCCTATGTGCCAGGTATTTTTCTAGGCTCCAGGAGTATAGCTATGTCCTAACATGGTCTCTGTTGTCCCAGAGTTTACAGTCTAATTGGGAAGAGAAGGGGCAGATTTAAGAAAAGAAAATGAGTTCTGCTTTAGATATGTTGAGTTTAGTGTGCTGTTGGATAGTTATAAACTCATGGAGATCTGGGATTGGTGATAGGGCTTTGGGGATCATCAGGGTATTGGCCACAGATGAAATTACGAGAATGGATGAAAACAAGATAGGGTGAATACAGTCCTAAGCTGAAAATGACTACCTCGGAAACAGAGTGATCCAACAAGTATATGGAGAAGAAGCACAGAGAGAATACAGGAGAATGCCATATCTTGAAAGCCAAAAGAAAATAATTGCTTCTATATATTGGGCACTTAATGGCCAGACACTATTTCACTTAATCCTCACAAAATATCTATGTGGTAGGTACTATTACCTCCATTTTATACTTGACAAAACAGACTGGCAAACTTGAATATTAGGAGCCTGGGGTTAATCAGCCCAGGATTTAAAAATAAACTGTGCAATGTCTATGTGAATGGGGATGTTCAAAGAGCAAACTACAGGAAATAACCAGGTTCCTGCAAAGATGGCCACTTCAGGGTCAGTCCAATCAGAATCCTCAGGTCCTCAGCATGTCTCCCTGGCTCTTCCAAGTGAGAATTAGATTTCGGTCCCACCTGTGGAGATCAGACACTCCAGTGCTAGCTATGCTATCCACCTAGCAAATGAAGGCTTCATACCATTAGTACAATCTTCATCACAATCATCAGTGCAGACTGCCCAGCTCTAAGGGACGTATTCTTAGAAGTGCCATTTGCAATCACCTCCAACTCTGACTCTAGCTCCATGGCTACGAAGCATGTATGGGAAACCAGAATTTCCAATGCCACACATTACTGATTACCTACAACATGACTCTCTTTGTATCATGCAGTGCTCAACAATCTGAATGCACTGTTCAAGGATTTTGGTGACATTTGCTTTGCCAAAAGCCGATTCAGTGCTTTCAAAGTAGCCAGAGACATTGCTGTGGTGCAGACAATGTATCCGCCTTTAAATGTCATGTGTTACATCTGTGGTGGCAAAACTGTGTGTCTCAAAGTGTTAGTAGGAATTCCAAGTACTGAGTTTATGGGCCAAGCTGTACAAATGATGGTCCAAGTGCACATGATCTCAAAAGAGACTCAAATGACCATGCTCAACCTAAATGACACATTTCTTCAGAGAATTTGATTCCATGCTGATTGTGATACCTGAAGTGATTGAAGAGCTTCTCCAGTTACAGAAGTGTATGATGACTCAAAGCAAAAGCGGTGGGCTGGTTCCCCTATGCTAAGGGATTCCGCCACTGGAAGCACTTGTTTTTGAACTAAAAGTATTCCCAAAGCTTTCCTCTGCGGCCCTGCCTGCGTCAGGCATGAGACAATCCCCACCATGAGGAGCTAGGGCACTGGCACATTGTAGGACTACTTAACAGCAAGCTCTTGAAGTCAGGGGGAACGTTCTTTGCTCTGAAACAGCATCACATCCTCGAGACTTTTGGGATTACAGGGATATCCTGGCAGTGTATAGGAAATCAAGCAAAAGAAGAGCCTGACTAGTCTATGGAAGACGATTAATCATATAAAAAAAAAAAGTGAACTATGAAGGCTAATGTATCAGTGGGCCTGTTAGCGCAGGATTCTTTCAAAAGTTCTTCAGATTCCGCAATATTTAAATCATTGATGGCCTTAGCCAGTGCCAGCCCAGCGGGTGGCGGGGTTGACGAATAGATGGCAGAGGTCGGAAGGTGATGTGTAGATAGGGGTGGAGACGACGTGAAGTTTAGAAAAGACCAACACGGGGCAGACTGGCTTGGAAAGTGATTTGAAGGAAATGTACGGCCTGGAGAGATCTTATATTTTTGAAGACTGGAAAAAACAAGCGGGTTCTCTCGGCTAGGAAAACGTCCAGGGTACTCACCGATTGAAAGGCCCCCGTTTCTCCCAACCATCACTCCCGCCCGGAGGCTGCGGCTCGAGGGAAAAACGCGGGGCGGGGCTTTCCCTGAGGCAGTTACCGGAAGTGACGAGCCCATATCGCGAGAAGAAAGACGCGCGAGCCTCGGCGGCCCGGAACCGGCCTTGAGAGAGTGGTGGAACCTCAGGCCGCTCGCCCTCCCGCCCCATGGAGCGGCCCCCAGGGCTGCGGCCGGGCGCGGGCGGGCCCTGGGAAATGCGGGAGCGGCTGGGCACCGGCGGCTTCGGGAACGTCTGCCTGTACCAGCATCGGGTGAGGCGGGGCGCGCGAGGGAGCGGCGGCGGGTGTTTGTCAGAGCGGCTGTGGAGCACAGCGACTGTCAGTTTGGGAAAGATTGTCGGTGAGACCTGGGGCGGTATTGTCGGCCGGTGAGCCTGTGTGTGTGTGTGTGTGTGTGTGTGTGTGTGTGTGTGTGCGTGTGCGTGTGCGTGTGCGCGCGTGGGGGGGGAGGGGGGAGAGAGAGAGAGAGAGAGAGAAAGACAGAAACAGATTGAGAGAGAGATCCTAGGTCAGCGTGTGCGGGATAGAGCTGTTAGGGAGAATTAATAGTATTGTCAAGATGTGACAAGGTGTTTACCGAGTGCGGCTGTGCGTATGTGTCCATGAGAACGTAGTGTCAGGGTGTGTGAAGCAGAGTGTGCATTGTGAGCACGAGGGGATGAGAAAATGGGGCCGAAGAGGGGGCTTCCTGCTGGAAGGTGTGCGTACTTGTGTGTGCCTGGAGGCCGTGTGGCATCAGTGGGGCTGGAGTAGACGAGGAAGGTTTCACGGTGGGGCCACAGTTAAGCTTTTGGAAACATTGGGTAGGCTTTGGAATTGGGAATGGGTTTGAGGTGGGAAACAGTATGAGGATCCGCTGTTGAAAATGACCATGGCTTCCCCAGGGAAAGGAGATAGGTTGGGGGCGAATTGCTCTAGTGGACAGAAGACAGAGAACATCCAACTTGGGAATTTTGCCTTGATTTAATTAAAAATGTTTAGCCAAATGAGCAGCAGGTAATAATCATGTTTGAGCTATGCACTTTTTGACATACCAATAAAAGCTATGAACCCTTTCCCCAGAAAAATGCACAGAGGCACATTCACACAATCTTATGCATTGCCATTTGAGGAATTCATGCTTTCCTGAAGGACATTCACAGACCTTTTAGATGTATAGACCCTGGACTAACAACCCCTGCAGTATAGTCTTTGTTTGGGCATCTGTAAAATGGTTATAATAATGTATATGAGTCTGAAAGTTAAATAAGATAATGTCTGTAAAACTAAGTACAATACAGATGTTAGCTCCTGCTGCTGCTGTGTTGTTGGTATTATCATCATCTTCATCATTAATTGGCCTTAAAAAAGGAAATGCCTAGTTAAAAGTGGTGTTCTTGGAAGATTTTTTGTGTGAAAGATAAATCTGAGTGGAAAAACTTATGGGCCAAGATGAGCAATAACGATATTACTAGAATGCTTGCAATTGGCAGTGAATGGAGAAGTGAATTCAAGAGGACAAGTCATGATTTGCTGTCTTAAGAAATACGGGTGTGGGTAGAGCGCCCATAATATAGGGTGGGAGATAGGGGAGATGAGAGCGTACCTGGTAGGAATAGGCATGTTTGTGTGACAGTTACAATGACAAATGTCACTGATAGAACTGAGGACATTTTGTGAGGTAGGTTTCCAGATAGAGTATAGGAGGAAGACTTGGAGAGAGGGAGAATGGAAGGTGAGGACTAAGGCATTAAGTACTTTGACAGCCAGACAAGCAGTAAATTTAGTAATTCTCACCATCAGAGAGGACATAAAGGCACTCGGAGAGAAAAGGAGGGGAGCCACGTATTTCCAGTGGATGTTGCCTGTGGTCTTTTTATTGAAGCCTGACCATCATCCTGATCATAAGAAAAAGAAAGTATGCATGCTGGCATGCTTTGTGACTGCTTTTCTTGGTCCTTGGCTGGGGATGGATGAATATATCACTTTGTAAAAATTTTGTGGTAAAATATATGTGTATATATATGTTATATATATATATATATATATATATATAACATAAAATTTATATATACATTTATATATATAACATAAAATTTTCCATTTTAACTATTTTTAAGTGTACAGTTCAGTGGCTTTTAAGTACATTCACATTGTTGGGCAACCATCACCACCATTCATTTTCAGATCTTTTTCATATTCTGAAACTGAAACTCTGTACCCATTAAACAATAACTCCCCATTTCCTCCTCCCTGGAGTCCAATGTTAACCGCTGTTCTACTTTCTGTCTCTCTGGAATTTATCACCTTTTAAATGGAAGAGATTTTGGTCTTCTAGAATCCTAGAAATCTCTCAGGAACTCTGTAGGTGTCCAGAGTGGACTTCCCCCAAACTGGGACATTTGACAGCTGAGCCTGTATTGAGAAGAGAAGAAATACCTTGTCATAAGACCGGAAACCGCATCATTACTTTTCCAAGCCTGACTTACAGTTTGAGTTTACAGCATTCAAGATCCTTGCATTTTAGTGGAAGCCTTGTCCTAATGTTTCATCTGTACCTCTTAAATCACAATGAGGAAGAGGAAAGGATGTGAGACGGCTTATTTAGCTGATTACTGTGCTGGAGGCTGATGGTGCCCAAGTCAACAGAATAAGTATTTTTTGCCCTCAGGGAGATTTCAAGTCTAGTGGGAGAGGTAGACACAGAAACACTTAAGTACAGTTGGTAACCTATTAATGAAGGCATTTGTAAAGTAATATAGGAGCATGGCAAAATAACCAAAGAACTCTTCCTAGGGAATAGGGTAACAGTTTTCAAAGTGTGTCTGGAAAAGTGAATCCCCTGAAACACTTTGAAAAAAGGATACTATGGTCAAATACATTGGGTAAACGCTGCATAGATAGGGTGTCCCCCAAAAATGTATACACACACTTTGAATAATGATAAAAGCAGTGTTTATTAAAATACTTTTCATTTTCAAAATTGAGCTATCAGCTGTTAAAGTGTGTATACATTTCTTTGGGACACCTTTCCTTCATTGGAAAGTTATAACCCACATTAGCATATTAAAAGCTCTGAGAACTCCTCAAGAAACCAATTTAACTTAGTATTTTCCATTTTTTTATTGTGGTAAAATATACATAACATTTACCATTTTAACCATTTTTAAGTGTATAGTTCTGTGGCATTAAGTGTATTTACATTGTTGTACAACCATCACTGTCTGTCTCTGGAATATTCCCATTTTTGTAAACACAGAACTTTTTTTTTTTTGCTGGACATCTACAAACTTTCCACAGAACATTCTTTGTGAAAAGGTAGAATGAGGAAAGCCTTTAAGATCAGGTGAAATAGAAACTGAGGAGTTGAAGGATCTTACAGAATGGGATCTTTTTGAAATAGATAGCTTCCTGCCTCATTCATGTGAGAATTTGGGTTTAATGTTTAAGGTTGTACCAGATTATGTCCATGGTGGTAAAAGCTTACTTGGGACCTAACTACAGCTGGTACCTGCTTAAAACAAAAGAAAGGTTGAAGGGCACAGGACTGTGGTTAGCCTAGCCTAGATTGTAGTCTTAGTTCCTTTCTTCTCTCTCCATACATCTACTATCTTATCTCTAGTGTCTTCCACCCCCATTTAGACTATCCCATACAAGTTATGTCTTGATTCCTCATCTATATATTTTCTTTCTTTCTGTTTGATTCTGACTGCTGTTCCTGAGCTGCATTATTTTTGTTGCCAGAATGTGATGAAGTCTGGCTATTTCCTGTAATGCACATTAGGTTGGGTTTAGTTTCACTCAGAATTGGGTAAATTACTAACTATAAGAGAGAGCTGTTAGGTTCATTTTATACATATGAAAACAGAAGTACAGTTATTGTTAGGATTTTTCTATGTCATTTGAAATGCAAAGAAATCAGGAACTAATTTGGAGATTTTTGTATTAGGTTTGGTCATATTAAAACTATTTCTTGCTATTGAGGCCAGAGAGCCCTGAAGTATCCTCTTCATTCTAGCTCTGCTGGGAGGCTGGTACCTTTGCTAGCTGTCTTGACTAAGTTCAAAAAGGGGTTTGTTGGGGAGACAGGGTCTTTGTATTTCCTAGCAGTATTTTATGAGACAGTATTCTGAAGAGATCTGTTATAGGACCAGCCTCAGTTACTTTGTGCTTGTGTGCTTTGTCTGTTTGATCATTTTTAAAACATTGGTTCTCATGGTTTACCTAGCAAAAGCATTGGCTCAAGAGAGCTGTGGACAAATATGTTTAATTAGTAAAGGTAAAGAATTCTGTTTCCCCAGGTTGGTATTTCTTTGGTAGCAAGTAAATCTGCACAAGAACCTAATTTATATTTTTTCTGTTAACTTTCTATTTTGGTAGGAACTTGATCTCAAAATAGCAATTAAGTCTTGTCGTCTAGAGCTGAGTACCAAAAACAGAGAACGGTGGTGCCATGAAATTCAGATCATGAAAAAGTAAGTGTACTTGACTTGTGCTTCCTAAGTTCTGCAGCGCAGCCAGAGGTTATCACAGAGAAGGACGCCAGGCAAAAGTCAGCTAGGTATTATCAGATTCAGCTCTATGAGTGCAGAATATGTTTCTCCTGGATCTTGGGCAATGCTCATCTGTTTAACTTTCTAGTTAAATAACAATAACTATTCTCATTTCTTACTTTCACCTAGTTTTGTTAAATAGTGTATCTATTGCTTTGTAAAAAATTACGCCAAAACTTAGTAGCTTAAAACAACAAACATTTAGAATCTCACAGTTTCTATGGTTTAGGAAATTTGGGGATGACTTACCTGTGTGGTTTTAATGCAGATCTTTCCTGAAACATCCCAGAATGTTAAGTGGAGCTGTAGTCATCCAGAGGCTTGAGTGGGGCTGGAGTATCCACTGCCAAGCTCATTTATATGGCTGTTGGCTAGAGGCATCAGTTTTTCACTATATGGGCCTCTATAGGGAAGCTTGAATGTCTTTCTTTTTTCAGTTTTTAGTGAAGCTTTATTTTCCACAAATGATATTTTTGTTCAGTTATCAGCATTAGGTTTTAAAGGATAGAAAAGCATTTTTAGTGAATTGAATGTCTTCATGACATGGCAGCTTGCTTTCTACAAAGTGAGTGATCAGAGAGAGAGAGCAAGATGAAAGTTGACATATCTTTTATGATCTTTCCTCAGAAGTTATACTCCATCCTTTCTGCCACATTCTGTTTGTTAGAAATGAGTCACTAAGTACAGCCCACACTCAAGGGGAGGAGAATTAAACTCTTGAAGGGAGAAGTGGACATATTTTAAAACCTCCACAGGTAGTGTGCTAAGTGCTTTACAAGTTATTCTTCTAGTTGTCACAGCAAACCTGTATTTAGTTAGGTATTACTCGTATTTTATAGATGAGAAAGTTGAAGCTCATAGAGCCATAAAATTGGTAGGTAAGACAGTCTGGCTATGAAAGAAGCACTTTCTGACTTTAGTATTTGTTTTCAATTCATTTTAATGATTCTGAAACTTGGCTTTTGACAGAATCACCAGGAAAGCTTGATAACAATATAATTTTTCATGTCTATTCATAGAGATTCTGTTTCTTTAGGTCTCTAGGACCTGGGAATCTATTCCAGTTTTGAGATCCACTGCATGGTGATGATAATGATAATTATAATGGCTGGGATGACATATTTTAAGTTTAAAATAAAAAGATGTTAGAAAACAATGTATAGCATGATGTAGTATTTATTGAAAAAATATATTTGTGCACAGATTAAAAACTGGAAGGAAATTTGCCAAAATTTTAAGTGTTCACCTTTGGGTAATTCTATGATTATAGGAGAGGCAGTATGATATAGGCTTTGGAGCCAGACTGCCAGATTTTAATCCTTACTTGACCATCTACTTGCTTTAAGATCTTACGTTACTTAATCAGTTTGTGCTTCAGTTTTGTCCTGTGTGATGAGACTATTAATAAGTCTACATATAGTAAGATTATATGTCAAGTAAGTGAGTTAATGTATATAAGGTGCTTACTACTTGGCATATAGAAGTATAATTGCAGTAATAGTGATAGTATTTTTATTTATTACTTTTTAATTATACAAATGAGAAATTAGAATATTACAAATAATGCCAGCCTTTCTTCCCTCACTGCCCCTCAGTTAACTACCATTTCAAACCCAATTCCTTTTCATTGGATAAAAAATTGTGATTATAGTGTTTTCCCCTTTTTGTTAGGTTGAACCACTCCAACGTTGTAAAGGCCTGTGATGTTCCTGAGGAATTGAATTTTTTGATTAACGATGTGCCTCTTCTAGCAATGGAATACTGTTCTGGAGGAGATCTCCGGAAGGTAGTGTGGATGCTTTGAGATGATGAAATAGTAAATCATGACCTTTAACAGTGTCTGAATCACATTCAGTGTGATAATCTAGAGTAAGGGTCAGTAAACTATGGCCTGTTAACTGTTTTTATGGCTGCTTTTTGATTACAGCCACAGTGTTGAGTAGTGGTGACAGAGACTATCTGTCCTGCAAATCCTGAAGTATTTATTGTCTGTCTCTTTACAGGGAAAGTTTGCTGACCCCTGATTTAGAACATGCATTCTTTTATTAGTGGTGGTGTTTGTAGGGTGGGACTGTATTCATTGTGTTAGATCAAAATATCAATGTTTAAGGTGTTTATAAAAAAGAATTTCCCCCCAAATCTTATCTATTGTAAATAAAGCTGCTATAGAACCAGAGGCATGGATACATGGATAGGACTGGTGGGGAGGCCTGGATAAAGGAAGGGGAAGTGATTAGCTAAGGAATATATATGCATAGCCCATGGACACAGACTATAGTGTAGTGAGGGCCATGGGAATAGGGGCGGGGGGCTGGGTGGAGGTGGGCAAAGGGGCGAAAATGGGGGACATCTGCAATAGTGTCAACAATAAAAAATTTAAATTAAAAAAGTGGGGTTTTTTCAATTACAGTTAACTTTCAATATTATTTTGTATTGGTTTCAGGTGTACAGCATTGTGGTTAGACAATCGTATACTTTACATAGTGATCCCCTCAATATTTCCAGTACCCACTGGCATCATCCATAGTTACCGCAATATTATTAACTCTGTTCCACATGCTTTACTTTACATTCCTGTGACTAGTTTATAACAACCAATTTGTACTTCTTAATCCCTTCACCTCTTTCTCCCAGTCCCCCAACACCCCAACTTTTAGGGTCTTTTCTAAAAGTATTTTCTCTATTGCAAATATTTCTTTCGCATCTTGTTTTAAATCTGCCATATGGCCTGGCCAGCATGGCTCAGCAGCTGAGCATCGACCTATGATCCAGGAAATTGCAGTTCAATTCCTGGTCAAGGCACATGCCTGGGTTGCAGGCTTGATCCCTGGCAGGGGGTGTGCAGGAGGCAGCTGATCAATGATTCCCTCTCATCATTGATCTTTCTCTCTTTCTCCCCCCCCCCCTTCTTCTCTGAAATCAATAAAAGTATGTTAAAAAAATAAATCTGCCATATGGATTTTTTTATATACACATGTCTGTGAGATTTTTCAACCTTTTTAAATTTCAAATACTTTCTCCCTTTATCTTTACTTGTATGAGCCTTGTCATGAAATTCACATGTTCTTTGTGTGGATTTGGCAGTTTCCCCCTCTTATATTTTCTTAATCATGACTTATTTTCTTATTTGAATATTCTGTTAGAATATAGTGATTAATGTGTCACTGTTACTGCCCAGCAACATTGGCAGTATACATTTTTAGACTTTTTTTTTTCTTTAGCTACTCAACAAACCAGAAAATTGCTGCGGACTTAAAGAAAGCCAGATACTTTCTTTACTGAGTGATATAGGTATGTAATCAATATGAAAATACCATCATGATTTAATTCCCTCTTGGTTCATAAAAGATTCTATATACTACTATAAAGCATAGATTTTTAGCATCTAAGAAATTATCAGAAAAATGTAACTGTTATCGTTGATGCTAAATTAAAACTAGGATATTTTCTTATTTTTTGTTTTTGGCTTGGAGTCAATTTTTGGCTAATAGATGCTCCAGTTGCTGACAAAAAATGGTGTTAAATGACCTAATTTAGTTTTACTCTCCCACCCTTCTTGATTAACATAGTAATTTTATTTATCAGTGACATTGCATCTGTTAAATAGATTCTCAAGTCAACTCTTAGGGTGAGATATCTTTTTAATCAGAACAATTCCTAGAAAAATCCCTAAAATAATCAGTACCTAGGCCCTTGGAGCAAGCTCAAAAGCCAAGAATATGTTTCCCTATGTATTTCGATTCTGCTTCTTTTCCTGGGTCATGGAGGCCAAAGCTTAGTTGAAAAGGGAGGGAAAGGTTACGAGGATAAATGCAGGGTTTTTCTAAATTGCTTTTTCCATTTCTTTTTAATGTTAATTCTCATAAATTAAATGAACGTATAATTCTGTAGTATTTGTTAAGTGTTACTGGATTTTCTGTGGAGAAAATATGAACTGCTGTAGTATTAATTGAGTAGTTGTGATAGTCCCTATAAATGTGAGCATTAGAGAAGTACAAAATGGTAGATAATTTTTTTTTAAAGTCAGTGTTTTCTCTTACCTCAAAATACATTTTAAATTTTACTTAGGGTCTGGGATCCGATATTTGCATGAAAACAAAATTATACATCGTGATTTAAAGCCCGAAAACATAGTTCTTCAGGATGTTGGTGGAAAGGTAGGTGAAAACTGGAGAAATGTTCCATGACAGTTGAATATAGTATCCCTGAGGTAGGTAGTCTTTGAGGTTTGGTGCCCTTCCATAGCACTCTTACTTTTCCTACACAGCCCTCACTACATTGAACTATGGTTTTGTGTTTAGTTTGTCTCCTCTGCTAATACAGTGGCTCCATTAGAGAAGGAACCGCGCCTGTCTTGTTCACTTCTGTTTTTCCAGCACATCATCTAACAGAGATAGTAGGCAGTGAGTAAGTAATTTATTAATCCTTACGAAGGGCATTAAAAAAAACAAACACATGCATCTTGAGTTTGCTTTACTTTAAGAAAAAAAGTACAGTTACTTAAGTATGTTTTATATTAAAAAAACAAAACACCTCATTCTCCACAAATTCCTAAGTTTATAATTAATATTCAAAACCTTGATTTCTCAGATTCTTAAATTAGTTATCTTGAGAGAAACCAGAATTTGTGAATTGACTCCTGAAATATTTATTTTTATCAGAATAATTTGAGCAGTTTTTTTGCTTTTTGCACTGAAGTTCCTTCCCAATAAATACGCAAAGCCAAAACTCTGAACTTTAAATTGGATTGTGTGGTCTTGTAGTTAGTTAAGATGGTGGTGAGTTGGAAGTTATGAACCTCGATGATGCTTTTTCCCTTAGGAAGCTTTTGTGTGCACTTGGCACCAACTATCTCTCCCTTTTTGTGTATCCAAAGATTTCAGGGTATTTTTGAAGTTAGATGGATATTTACATTGATCCACTGTAAGATGGTATGCTGCTTCTTCCTTTGGAAGTCACCTTTACCTTTGCATTTCAGTAGAATGGATCAAGTTTATTCTTAATATACCAAAATAAAAATTAATAGCCAATCTATATTTAATTTTTACCATGTACCAGGCGCTGTATTAAATTATTATTATTTTGGCTGTTTCATTGAATCCTAATAACAGTTCTGTGAAGTAGGGATTGTTAGTAGGGATTGTTAGTAGTATCGTTATATATGAAATCAAGAGAAATTAAGTAACTTGATCAAGATCACAAGGCTAGTTAAGTGCTGGAGCTCAGGCCTGAGTCACATCTGTGTTATTCCAGAGCTCAAGCTCTTTACCACCCCCTCTCCAGAGCCTTATCAGGACATTGTTGCCTTTCCATTTCAAATTTTTCAACCTTTTAATGCTTATTATTTTGCAGATTATACATAAAATAATTGATCTGGGATATGCCAAAGATGTTGATCAAGGAAGTCTGTGTACATCTTTTGTGGGAACATTGCAGTATCTGGTAAGACATGTATTGTTTCTTTGAATTTAAGTGTTCAAGATTCTCTTTATTTCTGAAGGTCATAATATAGTAGTTAAAAAATAAAGTAAGCCCTGCCTGGCAGGCTCAGCAGTTGGGCATTGACCTAAGATACAGGAGATCACGGTTCAGTTCCCTGTTGGGGCATGTGCCCAGGTTGCAGGCTCAGACCCCAGTTGGGGCGTGCAGTAGGCGGCCGATCAATGACAGCTCTCTTGTCATTGATGTTTTCTCTCTCTCTCTCTCTCTCCCTCTCTCTCTCTCTCTCTCCCTCCCTCCCTCTCTCTCTC